AACCGGGTCTTAAAGGGCCCTCCGCCCAAATCCTTTTAGCCTTTTTGCCTACTCGAGGTCCTCTATCGAATGATGTATGAACGAACGAAATCGGAGCCGGACACCTGGGGCGGTTCCCTCGTAAGATAATTGTACGTACCCCCATAGTATGACACAATCATACATCTTCTCGATGCAGCAAAATGGCTGCTCACATTAATTTCTACGTTTTTGAAGAACACTGATTCGACGTTTGCGGGGTAAAAGTTTATCAATTTATAAATAAATTTTAATACTATCTTTCATTAGGCTTTTTGTGTAAAAATAGTTTATTTTGTTTCTATATCAACTTTCACCCAAAAATTCTGCAGAAAACCCTTTTATCAGGTCACACTCCTATACCTATCGAAAAAATGCCGAAAACTAAGTTCAGAGTCGGTTAGTATGCACCGTTGATTTTTACTCACCACAGTGCCCAATGTTCAAGATAGATAATGTCATCACAATGCCAAATTGAATCATGTACCCGCCGAGCTGCAGCACATTGTTACTGTTGCAAGAAAGGTGTGTGCGCAAAACATTTTGCCGAACATGATCAACATATCAAAGACACAGTTCACCCGTTAGTGGATAAAATGAATATATTAGCCGAGAAACTGGCTAAAATTGAAGTCACTCATCTTTCGGAGCAACCATTGCAAGATTTAGAACGATGGAAAAACGACTGTTATGCACTGATAGAGGATGTTTACTCGAGAAAACAGGTTGAAATTGCTTTAACGATACAAACTAATGCTGAATTGTTCGAAGAATATAAGAGCAAACAAGAGAAGAAGCTGGAACAGATTCGTGCTGAAGTCGAACAATTAATCCAAGAGGAAGATGCAACATTCAGTGAAACGGAAAAAATCAAAGCAGGACTCGAACAAATTGAAACACATTTAAATGAACTGCAAACACAGTTTGTGTCGGTGAAAACACGTTTACCTGATAAACAACTGGTCACTGTCACTGCTGATTTGGCCTTGAAGCTGTCACAACTGAATATATCGTACAACAACGGCAATAATCAAGAAAAAGGTGAGAGTGAAAAGTTAGAGGTCATGTGAACACGTTGCATGTCATATACACTTGAAGGAAAAGGTTTAGCAGACACAAGTTTATAGAACGGTCTGGTACGGAGTGGCATAGTTTACTGTTTTATTTACGTTCTCAATTCGAGTAACTCAGAATCTTCTCTTGCTCTTGTGACTGACTGTGTAACTGATCGGCTGTTTTGTCAAACTGTTACAGATGCGTCCCCAGGAGTGCCATTCGCAACTAGGCCATGCGTTGGATTGTCGGATAGGACCTCGGTTTCAAAACCCACAATAACATCTATATTTGGCCAACCGACATTCGGCAACCCTACTTTTACTAGCCCAAGTTCTGTTCAGCAACAGCAGATAGTACCTTCGGGCTTTGGTGGTACTGCATACTCTCAGTTTCAATCGCCATTCACGCCGGTTACGCCATTCTCAGGTTTCGGTTGTGCTGCTTTTGGTACTTGTGCGACACCAGGCGGTCAACTGGCAGGTCCTGCTTTTGCCGCAAGCACTGGTTTGGGCTCATCTCCAATGATAGTGACCAATCCGTTTGTGTACGACCCATCGAAAAGTATTGCCAGTGGTACGCCGAAATAGAATATATCTGATATTCAAAAGCAGCACAAATAATAACTACCGTATCTAACAGTGACGGCATTCTGTTCATCAAAATATTTTTTTTAAATAACTAAAAATCAAATATAAAGTTCGAATCGAAAACAACTTGTTCAACAATTCAATACTATGATCAAACATTCTGGAATGTAACTTCTATTATCTATACTCTCAAAACGGGGTGCTTCAAAAAGCTCAACGTCTTAAACGTCAGGAAGGAAGAGTACCTTTTTTGTATCGAAACCCTCCACACTTTTCGGCATTCAACCTAGCAGTGAGAATAAGAACTGCTCTTTCTTCCTCAGTAAGCTCGCATACATCAGTTTTTTGGTCTCTGCTAAAGATGAACCAAGTTAAAGTCTACCTTTACATCCATCGAGTGAGATCCGGCCACTTACTATCATTTTTTAACGCAATTAATCGGTTTCAGGATGCATCAAAGACCGTTGGTGAATAACAAACAGAAACTGTTACTAGACGCGTTTCTGACTGCTATTAGCAGAGATAGAGAGTGATACGAGAACAAGTGCCTTGGCTTAAGACTCCTTGAACCCAACTTAAAAACTTTTAATT